GGAAATGGGATTAATTTGGTTTTAAGAATCCAGTTTGGTATGGATGAGTTAGGCCAAAGGGGCTATTTCTGCGCCGTGTACCTCTATAACTCTGTCTTATCGAAACTACAGTCCCTTGGTCTTCCTATGCATTCTTCTGTCCTTCTAACTCTGCAACAACCAGTACAACACAGATTCTGGTATGCTCCGAGTCCTGTCTTTCTGGTCTGCAGCTTATTGTTCAGTTCAAAACCAGATCGTGATTTCAAATGCCCAGCATCACCCTATGCTGTAGTTAACTACCCTTTCTGTACTAAATTCCTGCAGATTACCACTTAAATATATGAGAGGCTAAAAGTGAAAATTCTGAGTTAAGAGTTTTGAGTTGGAAACCAGCAAAATGCATTTGTTTGAGAAGCCAACTGATGAAATGTAGAAACGAAATAATTGTAATATGTGAAGCCTGTTTTGAAGGCATATGATTGGTACTGATGTTGGAAATGATGCTAGGAGTGGCAATGTGTATGGTGGTCCTTAGCTTTTGGCAGTTATCATTTTTGTCAACTTAATTTAAAAATGAATGGAAGCTGGTGATTTTTTTTTAATAATAAAAGTAGAAGCAAGCTGGAAGCTTTTTTGACCCCATACCCATTTGTGAATTCAACCTGCCAGCAATGTCATGTTGCTAAGGGGAGGGACTCCTCACCTCAAAAAGAGAGGGAAGAGTGGTGTGAAATGAAAGTACTAATTTTGTTTTAGTACCAGGACTTTCACTTTGACAGCCCTATTTATTCTGTATAGTTTTATTGTTCAACTCTTGTGTATATTTCTGTTAATAATCCTTTTTAATGCAGGGAAAAGTATCAAACCAGCAGTTTCTGGTTCAAGCGTCTGTTCTGCTGAAGTAGCACTGACATCGTTATTACCAAGCAGTCAACAGCAGCAGACAGCACAGTCTCCTGCAGCGATGAAATCAGTTCCAGTTTCCTCGGCGATCACAGTCACACACATTCTTCAGCAGGTAACTACTTGGCTATGCACAATCCTTTTACAAATAGTACTGTCAATGAGATTGCCTAGAAAGTTAAGTTATTAAATAGGGAACTTGTTACCTATAACTGAGGCAACTTCTTTGGCTGGAGGATCGAAGTTTGTAAATAACGAAATACCATAATAGCACTGGAGTTTGGTGTTCTGCTTTCACACCCTCCACTAGTACTATTGACACTGCTCCTGGAGCAAGAACAATCAACAGATGGCTGAAATGCTAAATTGTTGAGTCTCAGCTTTTTGGATTACCCTAGGCTCCAAGGAGTTGACCAAAAATTGCTGCCAAATACAGATGTGGGCAGTTCGCAGGAGAGTTGAGCACCTTGGCCTCTGGACAATCAGCTCCGGTGATCTTTCTTTGTAGCCTCTAGTGATTAGAATGAGGGTCAGGTGGATCTTATTGAATGAAATCATTGAATAGGGTTGTCAACCTGTGCCAATCAGGGTGCCCTGGCTGACAGATATCAACAGGAGTCTCAGAGTCCCTTCATTTTAGGGACTGGCTCTGAGCTGGCTGGTCAGAGCCCGTATACTGAGCATGTGTAAATAGAGTCAGAGTAATACAGCATGGAAACAGTCTCTTCAGCCCAAACTGATCCATGGTGCCCATTCAGCTAGTTCCAATTGGGTGACTTGTTGACGAGATATCAGCCTCTGTGCAGTTATTTTAGCTTCTGCAGCAGTTGGTACATGGGAGTTGTTGGCTTTGAAGACTTAAGACAGTTAAATGCTAAAATATTTCCTGTTACAGAGGGGTAATTTAGCTAGATTTCCACTTCTAATTGCTGGTCAACATGTGGATATCAGGTGAGAACAAGATTGATGAGGGGAGGTACGCCCAAAGACCTGACCCCACCATTGAATCTTAGGCAGAATAATTGATTGCTTGGGTGAAACATCAGAGGACAATTGGTATTTTTGTGTTCTTGACAGCACGATGAGAGAAAATTGATTGAGAAAATTTAAGAAGCAACAGTGTGATTACTGTTTTGGGAGCAATCCCTTTGAGATGCAGTTTTGGCTTGTTGGGCTATTGCTGTATTTCAATATGTTCTTCATGACTTCGCTGGCAGCGCAGAAAAGTACAGTGCATTGACCAAGGGACAGTTGAGCTAATAGATTCAAAGCAGTCACCCATACTTCCAATGCCATTACAAATGATTTGGAAAATGTAGCTCCATTTTCTTGCAGAAGGTTTCCTGCTAAATTGGTGGATTGATTTGACTTCCCATATTTATGGAACTTGTTTAATCAAGGTTATACAGAATTCAGACAGAATTTCCCAGGGTTTTTCCTGAAATTGATCACAGAATTTTCTTGTTGTCTTGCTTAAGTTACGGAGGGTATTGAATGAGACTGCACAGTATTAGGAATTGGATACACATTGAAAGGTTGCATAGCTTTACTTGCCCTTTTATATACACTTGTTTGCACAGGTTAGAATGCACAGACATTGGTCTACATTTTGTGAAACACTGTTTGTAATGGAGGAATGTGAGCGTACATGAAAACATATATCCATGTAGTGTTACTACATTGTGTTACTAATTGAACTGACAATGTGCTTGATTTGTATAGTGTGAATCCTGTCTCAAACATCAATAAAACTTAATGAGGCAGCAAGCATAGATTCCGTTTAGATTCCGAAACCAGTTAGCCTGTTTAAAAGAACTGCTGTCTTGAAATTATTAAGAAATTACTTTGAAAATCTAAGCAATTATCTTTGTCGGTACGCCATTCACTACTGTCACATCAAACGTTCCTATTTTGCTTTATTTCCTTCCCCCAGTTTTCCCTTCCTATGGTTTTATTGCCCGTAAATGTCCTCCGCATGTCTGGTGATGCTACAAGTAGCACGTTGTGTGAAAACCGAAGTTGTTCAACTTTGTATCTCCAATGGGGCAGAGCCTGAGATCTGAATGTTTTTTGTTTTTTGTTTCTTTTGTTTTGGTAAAAATCACAGTCATCATCCCTCTCCTCTACCCCTTTTCACCCACTCTGTGTTCTCTGATCACCCTGATTAATCACCACTTCTACCACGGCGAGTTGTAAAATTGAATTTATGAACTTGTGTCAGGTCAGAGAACCATGAACGTTGCTGGAGGCCTGTTAGTTCACTAGTGTCATTCTGTGAAGGGAATCTGTCATGTTATGCAGAAAAGATTCACAAGAATGGCTCCATATAAGAGGAACTTCAGTTATGAAGATAGGTTGGAGAAGTTTGGACTCTTTTTCCATAGATAAAAGGAGGCTGAGAGAAGATCAAAATCATGAGGTCAGACGGAGTCAATGGAGAGATACTGTTCCCAGTTTGTGGGAACTGGATCAGAAACATGAGGGTACAGGTTTAAGCAAAAATGATATGGAAAAAAAAAGTTTTTCACTCAGTGAGTAGTTAAGTCCAGAATGCTTGGCTGAGTGTGTAGTGAAGTCGGCTGAAGCATTAGTAGGTAATTATATTATCTGGAAAGGAAGAATCTGTAGGGTTAATGGGGAGAAGGCAGGCAAAGAGAACAAGAAGATTTCTTCATTCAGGAGCTGGTGCAGCGTGACAGGCTTGAGTGGCATCTTTGCTGTAACAACTATAATGCAACTTAAAATTGTTAGTTTCGTTACATTACTGTCGAGGCTAATAAGCATTAAAGATGAAATTTAAACTAAACATTTGAGACACAGTTGATTTCAGTAATTCCTATTTCGCAAAGGTTAAAACAGATGTCTCACTCAAGTCTAAAACCAACTGTAACTTTATTTTTACAAGATGACTTGTTACTTTTTTATATATACCAGAAATATCAGTGCAAATAGACTCCTTGAAATGTTGTAACTTGTCATGTTGTTTGTGGCCAGCACTGACACGATGGGCCACAGAATCTTTTCCTGTGTCGTAGATCTCTGTGACACTGTTCTTCAAATATTGCTGTGGGATCTTTAAGATCAACCCAACTCTTTGGAGCAGACATGGCTTTATTTAAATGTCTCATTTGAAGGATGGCACACCTTCAGCTTGCATCTATCTTCAGTACTGCACGGCTAGGAGTTAGTCTAGATCATATACCTAATTCCTGGAGCGGGACTTGAACCCACATTTTGAGTTCAGAGATTTCAATACAGTTGAAATTTTTATTATCACACCAAAAGTTTTGTGCATGGTACCTTCCCTCCAATATAATCGGGTTTACCTCACAAGATTGGAAAACTTTAAACTATTGAGTTCACACATGTCTTCCATTAATTTTGTTGCTTGATTCCTAAAATCTGCATCCAGATCCCGATAAAATTACAAGCAGCCACTGGTCAGGGTGCTGTTGCCAAGCAAGATGACTCTGAAGCTGAAGAAAGTGAAGTAGAGGAGGGCGACACATTGGATCCACAAACAGGCCTCTTCTACAGATCCAGCACCTCGGTACCATCATCCTCCTCCCAGCATCAGCCGAAACAACTACAACAATCACAGGAGGTGACACAGACTAAATCTCCAGCACTGCAGCAAGTTGCTGCAGCAACAACCCAGACACAACCAACCATGCTGCAAGTGATCGCAGTAAAAGCACAACAGCCACAACTTCCAAAACTAACACATCAAGCACAACAGAAGCCACAGTTGCCACCCCCCACACATCTGCAGCATCACCCGGATAAGACCCAGCTCATCATAAAGCAGCAAGCTGTCTCATCAGAACAACCTCTTCCAGGCCAGGTAACAATATTGCATAATAGCTGGGAGCGTATAATACCTGTCAGCAGTTTCAACAGGTTTTGTTTTCTTATTGCCATGTACTAAAGATAGTTTAGCGTGAGTAATAGTCAGTGTGCTGCACTGAATTGATGATTGAGATTAATATTAAAGATTAGTGATGTGTTCACTGGAATTTTCTGAAGTGATCTGGACTTGATTGTCATAAATGCTCATAATATGTATTTGTCTGTTCTAACCCAACTATTTATGCCCCTTCCTTCCTAGTGGATAATGATCAGTGGCTGGAAACTTCACTGATCTCCCCATTCCCACTCTAAATCAGGAATCTGAGGCCATGTGTAGCAAACCTACTGAAATTACTAACTTACTATCAACAGAATTGGACTCGTATAAGTTTAGTTACAAATTATAGTTCTTCAGTTTGTACATTAAACATGTTTCATTAGTTCTTTTATTAGGTAACTTGATCAATGCATGTTCTTACGTACAGAATTTTCTGGTAAGCATGTTTTAACAGATGGAATGAGTAGGATTGCACTGTAAAATTAGAATGCATTTAGATTATTGATTGCTCGAAGTCACTGTAAATAACTTACTCTCAGTACTTTCCACTAATCATGTAACATCAACATGCTGGTCCCTTCTCAAAATGGTTTGTATGACATCGAGTTTACTCTGCCATTTAGTTGGCCAGAGATAAGACTTACTTTTTTATGCTACACCCCTTCATTTTATTTTGATGTTCTGTTGTACTTCTCTTCCTTCTGACTGTTTACTGTGACCTTGTATTTGCAACCCTTTGTTTTGAAGGAGATTTCTCCTGGATTTGCCATTTGCCGTCTTAGTTCCAATTCTAAATTTTGTCACTCTGTCCCACCTCAAAGTCTGTGGCTGATGAATACACTTGGTCTTTGCATGTTGCATTAATTAGCTCAGCATTTCATCCCTCATTCTTGTTTAAAACATATCGGAATGTTTATTAATTTCAGTTGCAGCATGAGAATTGCCAGACCCACTTGGGTAAGATTGTGGTATCAACGGTAGATGAAGTGCACTTGGGATAGTATTATCCTTCAAAGTGCAATAACTTAGAGGCAAAACTAAAAGGACCATCTTTTAAATAAGTTTAGAGCTCCATTGTCATATGCAAAATATAGATTGGATGGCGTGTTTGCACCTAGCATTCCCCAGTAGGTGAATATCATTGAGATATTTAAGGAGAAGCTGGATAAAAAGGAAAGGAATGGAGGGATAAACTGGTCAGATTAGTTGGAAAGTGGTGTGAGGAGGCTCATATGGAGCAGAAAAGAATTGACATCAATCCATTGAGCTGAATAGCTTGTTTCAGTACTCAGTATAATAATGCCCCTTGATCTTGCCCCTTAGCGTGCAAATTGCTGCAGTTCATTCGATTGGAAACTGGTCTTTTACCTCTGGATTCTAGTCTGCTTTGACATTCTGCCTTGACCGACATCTCAAAGGTGTCTCATGCTATACCAATGTGAAAATTTCTCTTTTCTTGGGCCAACCATTCTGTGGCCTTGGCGATTGGAATTGTCAGTGCAATGACTGTACAGGAGAAGGTTGGTGCAGAGAATGATGCTCACCAAGGGAATTAAAATAACTAATTTTGCAGCGAATAGGCAGGCAAATGTTTATCTTGTTTGAAGCCATTTTACACTTTTCTAGCATTTTTACACAGAGGAATCTACCTGTATTTTAGCCACTATTGCTGATACCGCAGGTCAAATTTATGAGTTCTTTTTAATTAATACTTCCAGAGGGTTAAGTATAAGGGAATGTTTCTATTTTAGCCAGCCTAATTCATAAGTACTACAATTTTAAGGTTTTACTTCAGAAGCATTGCAAATTTTCGCTCTCACTTCTTCTGTAGCTAACTTTCTTTTCCTGCACTCCATGCTGGACCTCGGTTTCCTGGATCCTGACTACCCTGTTGGGTTTTGCAAGGTGCCCAGTCTTCAGGTGTCAGCTCAGTCAAAATGTTGAAAAATTGTTTGAATGTGGATTGCATCACAGCCAAGCTTAATCCTGTATTCATTGACTACCTGTGTACATGCTGTTTTCAGGAATGGTCGTTGTAGCAATAAGGAATGAATGGCATTTATTAAACCTCTCTGTATGACACACAGTACCATGGCCAACTTCAGACTGTCTACTGCTAATCTGCCCAAAGATCCATTAACTCAGTATTTAAAGGAAGCAAAGCTAGAAATTTCCTGGTCGGTATGACTCAGTTTGACGCTGTTCAGTGGATTTAGAACTAATCCGTGAGTGGAAGACTGAGGTTTTTTGGGGTGGAGGGCACAATCCCTAGATCAGCCTACTGTGACGTTCCAGATATTTTCTATTTCAGACATAAAGAGTAATCATAAAACCTCAAATGATGGAAACTGAAATAAAAACAAAATTCTAGAATTCAGCAACACCCAGAGAAAAGATAAAAAATATTTTAGTTGTAGACCCTCCTCAGAACTGCTCTGATTCAGAGTAACTTTTAAATCCATCCCAGAATGTTCTACTCTGTTCTCCCGTTGTCATTTAATGGCTACAGTAGGGCTTCTGTTAATATTGGCAGGCACAGCCACCCATCAAAATGCAACGAACAACAGTCACCAAATAACCTTTGGAAATTACCAAGCCGCTACCATCACGAAAATGGCCAGTGTCAGCTCAAAGAGTTCAGGAATGGCAGCAAACTATTACATGGTGCAATCTTCCAAGAAGTCAATGGAAACCGACTTTTTAGAGATTTCCATGATGGAGGCCCCGGTCAGAATGAATGAGGAAGCCTCTAGCGTAGACACTAGCAAAGAGAAGAAGCCCACAGCACACCAAGTAAGCTCACAGCAGTCAGGCCCTTCAGATCAGTTCCAGAAACCAGCTCTGGCCCCTGTACTGAAAGAAGAACAAAACTAACAGCCCCCAGAGAAGACACTTCCACCTAGGGAAGTCGAGGGATCTGGAAAAGCTATTCAAAATCATTTTATTCAAATTCAGAATTTAACATGAGAAGTCGAATGAAATTTCTGCAGATTTTCTTGTTCAGGTAAGCAGGTGTATCTGTTTAAAATCTAAACACAGCCTGGAAATATGGGCAGCACACAGGCACTTTGTCCTGTCGTGAGTCAACTGCACCAAAAAAGAAATGCTCCGAGACAGATAGATTCAACCATGATTTTGCTAAAATAGTACCAGAGAGACATTTCAATCCAGAAGCAGTTGTAAATGCTTGTACTCCCTCCCTCTTCCCCCACCCCCTCTGCAAACAATGAGCTTAGATTACAGTCATAAACAAATTTGCTTTTCTGTAACCTGCATCTGACAAAAAATTTTTTTCAAATTTTGTAACATATTTTGCCTCGCTGGTCTCGCAGATGAATTTATTCGTCTGATTGTCCTCAAACCAGTGGTCTACGAATATGTTCGCTAGTCCTTGTTGTCGTCTCATAAGTTTACGCTCAATTGTCAACACAATCTATTATGCACCTTTTTTCCAAAGCCTGGCTGAGAAAATAAATTTCTGTCAATTAAAATTGAATATTTGTGAGCGAGTGCGCCCATTTTCAAAGTGGGCATTACATGGCTAGGATTAAGCAGGATAACAAAAAGCCCAAAACACATTTATTTTATGGACATAGGAGGAGTTACAACAGTGCCTTGCAGCTCAGACTCTGCCCTCCAACTAAGTTAATTAAACCACTTAGTGAGCAGCAGAACCATTGATTGCATGTAGGTACCAGGATTGATGACTGGTCAATGAGAATTAACTGTTCTTGCGTAGCCTCAGAGGCCCATGTTATGGAGGAAGAAATCTGCCAGCCCCCTCCTGATGGCTAAAACGCAACTCCCACAGGATAAGCACATGAAAGTGTAGCAACTGGGGACAAGGTTAAGCTTGGTTCTGACGCTTCCATTGGTTGAATCACAGAATCATCACAGTGCAGAAGCAGCCAATTTGCCCATCATGTTTGCACTGATTCTCCAAGTGACGAACTTATTAAGTGCTAATCTCCCATCTACTCCCCATAGCCCTGCACATTCTTCATTTTTAGATAACGGTCTAAATGCAAGAAAACACTCAGGCATTATATTCCAGATTGTAATTGCTTGCTGCATGAAAGTATTTTTCCTTGTGTCACTTTGCTTCTTTTACCAATGACGACATTTGTGCCTCTTTTCCTCATTCCTTTCATGCATGGGAGCAGATTCTTCATATCTACTAAACAAATAAAACAAAGAATTGCAGATGCTGGAAATCAGAAACAACATGAGAAGTTGCTGGAAAAACTCTAGGTCTAGCAGCATCTGTGAAGAGTTAACCTTTCGGGTCCAGGTAGTTCTGAAGGATTCACTGGATCCGAAATGCTAACTCTGCTTTCTTTGCATAAATGCTACCAGACCTGCTGAGTTTTTCCAGTAATCTGATTTTGTTTTTTTGTATCTACTCTGCGCAGACCATTAATGATTTTGAGTGCATCTATCGAATCTCCTCTCCACCTTTTTTTTTCCCTGCAAAGGAAACAGTGCTGACTGCTCCAATTAATTTAAGTTCCTCAGCTCTGGAACCATTCTTGTGAATAGACTACTGGTATTCAGTGATATATGATTTAAGGCCACTTTGGTCATTAGCTAAAGAAGTATTTATATTGGAGGGATTTCTAACTAATTTCTTGTTTTAGTCTCTGTGTGAGTCTATAACATACAAACCAAGGTTGAAAATTCCCTTGTACTGTTGGAAGGCAAAGGGTTGGTGTTCTGGTTAGTTCATTTAGAGAACTTTTACAATAATTGGGAGCAAAAACATAGTTGCTGGAAAAGCTCAGCAGGTTTGGCAGCATCTGTGGAGGAGAAAACAGAGTTAACATTTCGCGTCCGGTGACCCTCTGCAGTTCTTTTGGTTTTTACAATAATTAATTGTCTTCGCTAGGAAAATGATTTTCAAAAATTGACTAGAAAAATGTTGTGTTTTTCCTACATTGTCAGGTGTTACTAAATTGTCAGGTTTTACTTTAATTGTAAAGTGTGATGTGAAAGTAGAAAACAGTACAGACTGACAGGAGGTAACAAGGTGTAGAGCT